GTGAAGTTTTATAAATCCAAGTCCAGTCTCGATGTCCCGACCCAACATCCCATACTGATGAAAACCAATTAGCTATCTAAATCCTTTAGTACAGCAGATTTAGAGGAACAGGCATTGGTGATCTCACATTTAAACAGATCCCCTAGGACACAACATCACACTGTGGACACAAAACCCATCTCCAGTACAATAATATAATCTAATGCATTATATCTGTAAAACTTCCATTTCACCATAAGTATGTTTTTGCAGGCTCCAAACAAACAGTAGCATTTATGTGTTATTTTCACTTTTCATTAGATTTTTAATTGGGCCAGATCATTGTATGTTAGGAGCATGAGTGGGACTCAAATGCAGGATACAGACCAGAGTTGTGTTGCTAAGAGAAGAGTTTTTATTGTAAAAGAAGATTGGGATTAGGGGTTTATGGTAGGGAATGGAAATCTGGTGGCAGCAGAGGTTAATGGTGGTTATAGAGGAGTGTGGCTAGCATGAGGGGTGAATAAAGGGAAGCATGGCTGGCTGGAGATTGCTGGCAAGCAGACAGATGAGCAGGAAGACTGGCAGGTGGGTGATGATCAGGTTAGAGCACGGAAAAACACGAGGAGGAGAAGTCACTTGAACAAACTGAAAAACGTTTGGTCAAAAGCATAACTACCACTATGATTGAACAACAATCTGGTGGGGCGTGAATGAAGAGAGTAAATATACTGCAGGTAGATGAGCTGATGATTGGCAGATGTGTACCCTGCAATGGATGATTACCTAATGTGGGCCAGTTGTGTGAGATAACCAGAGCCAGGAAGGGAGACCACACCCACAACAACAGGACCACAGCCATAACTTTGTATGATCACCTGAACTCAAACACCTCACAAATAAGCCATGGTCATGTATTTTTGTCCTAACTTCATGAATGGACCAGGACCACCAGAAAGTGGAACAGCTTACGTGCATCACTAATCACATGTCAGTGGATAACCAACTTTTTCCTTGCAACATAACACAAAAGGAAAGCAAAGTAGGACACCGTTATATTTTCCAGCCAACAAAAGTTAAAGCAAGCCAAACAAAGTTGTGTACTAAGAGTTTTTTTTTTTTTTTTTTTTCCAAACGGTTGACCCTTGATTTGTTTTGTAGTCTACAGTGTGTTTTAGCCTGAAGAGTCTGCACATAGAATGGGGGTCGCAAAAGGATACACCAATTGTCTCCTTCAAATTCAAGCATAAGTGGGACCCTTTTCTCAGGCTGCATTCAGTGGAGCCTTTGGAAGGGGACAGCCTTGTCATATTTGGTCTAGAAATGCAGACTTCAAAAGATGCAGCCCATAAATTGGGCCACCGTGAACATGTATACAGCAGCCTCAACTCAATGACGCACATGCTGGAGACTTCATGATTATTAATTGACCTATATCACAAAACACAAAACCCTTACCCATCTTTACACATTATATGCTGTGGCTTGATTAGCCATGTCTTTACATGATTAGGCTTAGTCACTGTTAATTTGTTTATATGGCCATCAAGGGATAGCTCCTCGTCTCTTTATGTGTTTATATTACTCATAAATATGGAGGACAATACAGTCTGAGATCCCATGACTAATGTCTACTGACTGGCCTGAATGCTTGGACAGAGTCTATTTGGAAAGACTGTCGTTGTAGAGTACCCTGCAGAAACATTTCAACCTTATGTAACTGCCTTTGAATTCAAAGCCTTTATGACAAGGATGATGAATCTCTTGGAAACTGCTGATATTCTAGTTGTAATTTCTGGGATGCTATCTCTTTGCTCCTTCTCACTGTTTCCTTTTCTCTTTGGCTTCCATTTTCTTTTATTTGAGATTATCAATTAATTACTAAAGAATGTTATTGTTTGTTTCCTGCAAACTAAATTATGTGTTGCTGCTGTGTCGGCCTGGGCTTGGAATAAGAATCCCTTAATCTCATATGAATCATCCTGGGTAAATAACAGTTGATAAAATAGTGAGTGCTTAGTATGCTCTTGTGGAGGGAGATGAGCTTCTACATTTCTTCAGCCTTATTGCAATGAATGACACCAGACTCCAATTGCTTTCTGACTGCCCTCTGGTGTCAACTTCAGTTGAAGACTTTTTCCTCTTTAGGTGAAGTCAAATTGCTTGTTGGACATGGGTTAAAATGATTATTCGCTCATGGGAGAATGAGTGAAGGATGATGCAACGTAAAGGGTTGGGAGTGGAGTGTAGAATTGTCAAATAGACTACCTGCTCTGGATGTCCTTACTATTTTTTACTAAATAAAAATATTAAAATACAGCATAATGTTTGGTTAATCAACATTTGAGAAATCGTACCAGAGCAGTTTTCTTAGTTTGAGCAACATTAATATACTATTCATAATACATGTCGATTCAAACCCCCAGTCCACTCTTTTCTTGATTAATAAATGAATCATTTGGGCTATCACCACAGTGTCATCACAATTTCCTAAAGCCTAAAGTTCATCAAAGTCTGAAGAAAGCCACGCTTTTCCTAATTAATGATTTTAAATTGTTTTAACTTTGAACTGTTACTGATGAAATAGTCCTTCATAGGTTAGAAAATTCCAATTCCTCTATATATAAATACAACATTAGAAAAACAATTGGATTAGCTGAAAAATGCTTTATCATAAAGCAAAAAAACAAGGCCATTTTTCTTAGACCATTACATTTGATGTTCTGGAGATACAATAGATTGCTTGTTTGTCTAACCAACAGTCCAAAACCCTCAGGTACTAAGTTTACTATCATAGACAACGCAGAAAGAAAGACATTTACATTTAAAAAGCTTTTGACATTTCAGCCCAAAAACACTGACTTAAACAATTAACTAATTATCAATCTGGCTGCTAATTACTTTTATGTTAGCTGAGTAATCAATTAAATGACAAACAATTTAAATTTGAAACTTCGACCTGTATGTTTTTGAACAGGACATGCCCCAAGAAATCAAATATTATATTTCCTTCACACAATCAAATATTGGAGCACGGATGACCTTCAAGATAACTGCACTTTCTGTACTGATAACAAAAACTCACATGAAGTGGGTGGCATCTAACAGCAGGAACCAGTTAGAGTTTAATATCTACCTGGCAACAGATCCTGTCATCTCATGGATGCCACTCGACTCCTATTAAAATCTGCCGCAGTGATTGTTTCCTCCTCCTTGGACTAGCTTGGTCAAGGTCACTGAAAAAAGAATTCCACAGGGTAACCTTGTCAAACTAAGCTGCATGTCTCCACAGAGTTTGCCTAGATTACACTAACACCATGGGTTGATGGCATTACTTTCAAAGTGTAATAAAGTCACACTTGAGTCAGGAAACAGGCACAATTCTCTGCTTATAAATACAGGTTACATTATTCAGGTATGTAATAATGGTAATAGAATATTTTATAATTCATTTACCGCTGTTTCTTTGTCCTTTTATGAACAGCTTATAGTAGGGGACAGCAGGAGATTATTACTTTAGGTGAAACACACAAAGGAAGGTTAACTCACAAAATGCAGAGCAGCTCAGAGACCAAGTTGTTCCATCTAATAATAATTACAGCAATTCCACATATGAGGACTGTTGGTGACAGGTATGTAGAGGAGAACTGGATATTAGCTTCCAAACGTACGGGAGACTTCCACACAATCACCGCTACTTCTAATTTACTTCCAACTGACATTTCAGTGAGGGAAAATGACTCACAGTCTGTATGTCATTTCAAACAATGGGAGACCACTCTTATTTATAGCCTACGCACCTGCAGACATTAATTCAACCAGTCTTTTCCCTTAAAGATTCATATTTCCTATATAATGATTGAAATAATGAACAGCAACGTACAAAAATACAAAGATTTGTTACAAATGCATCGCAATTAGATGTTCATTTCAGTATAAAACATGGATATGTGTTCATGGATATGTGCAGCAGTACAGCTTAGTGTGCCTGCTGAACTTCTTTTACGATCAAAATAATGAAGTCATGTCTCAGTATACGATACTGACAATATGACAAGATCAACCTTGAATGGATCTTCTGTTGCTTCATACCATGGTGGTTGTACACTCACTGTCTACATTGCTACCCTCATATTACTTATTGAACCACTGTGAACCACCCCAGAACAGACAAACCAAACATTGTCTCCAAATAGGACCTTTCGCGTTTTTGCAGCCACCATAGTTCATCCTGTATGCTTGGACGTTTGAGCTGTTGTATGCCACTAACTTCTACACGCTAATCCTTCTAAAAAAAGGAAAAATCATCATTTTGTGTTTCTATCTGGTTATAAATGAAGTTACATGCCTATTTTTTCAGATTTGTAAGTAAATAAACCTTTTATTATTATCCATAACAGTAATAACTCACATTTTGTTGTTTTTAAAGAGCCTTTAATCAATTTAAGAATTAATGTAAGTTCAAATCTTGTATTTGGAACTGGGCTCACCCTTTCATTAGTTGACATGTGGGTTAGCATTGTGCTTTTAATTACTTGAAATATATGATTACCTGAGTCAGAGTAGAGAGCCTTATACCTAATTGCAAAACAATCCATTGGTAAATTTGAGGTAAGTGCTCTGTTTGCCACTGGTTTAGCATTGTGCAACTAAACATTCACACAGTCAATGCCCAGCAGGGACTGACTTTCACTAACATCAACATATCAACAAATCTATTTTTGATTAACAAGCCCTTCATTATTTATAGAATGTAAACCACATGGCATTACGGGTTTGCAAACATTGCCTTTTGTCTGGAAACTAATTATTGGTGAAAAAAAGTTAATTGTGTGGTGATTTTTTCACACATTACCTGAGAGTCAGCTTCCATTCATTAGCTGCAGATTGCTTTTAAGCTGTTTTGTAAAACTGTTAAATGTCTGAACAGCTGGCGACTCACAGCGCACCGCCTGGCGCCCACAGCTCTCCACGCTGATAAGTGCTTAGAAAGAGGTAGGGGCTATTCATTCAGGGCTGAGACTCGCCATATCCTCAACAACCCAGAGAGCTGTAAAGTAAAATGACAGAAGCAGTATCCTGGTGATCTAGAGCATTAATAACTCGGTTTATGTTACAGTTATATGCGTCCTGGTGCGATTAGGCGCACAACAGAAGGTAACCGCACATGGGCGAACATTTGTGCATCTGAGTCAGTGACCGAAAACTAATTGTGATAAAGTTAACCCAGCGACAGAAGAGTAGCGGGAAGGTAAAATGTCTAATTCCGCCCCCTATCACGGGAACACACGGAGGTCTTCTGGGGTGGCACGTGGAAAGAGACCACCGGATTTGGAGCTGTCGGAAACCACGTTTAGAGCGCCTGAAGCAGGGACACCTGTGGGCAACGACACTTTTTCTGACAGAGACAAAATGCCTGAGGACGGTAACCATACCACCGACGTCCCCCCTGTTCACATCCACCCGTACTTATCTCATCCCCGGATGTCTGTGCGTATGTCGGTGTACAGCACCGGTGTCCGTCCGGTCCTCACCCGCGCCTACATCCAAGGACGCGTGTATAACTTTCTGGAAAGGCCGTCTGGCTGGAAATGCTTCGTGTATCACTTCACAGTGTGAGTGTTTTTATTTTCATAATCATCCAGATCCATTGGGTATTCAAGGGTATAATTGCAACTCTAAGATCCTAATTAAACAGGGAGTTAATTGCGCATGTAGAGCCTTGGAAGCCCTCACTACAAAGAACTGTTAATCCTGTGAATTTTAGAAAGATGCTGCACAGATATCACAGCACAACTGGAGGTCCCTCTAGGAATATTAAAAGGATATTTTAGTCTAGCCGTAGCAGATTAAAAAATACCATATAATTCATCACAGACACAGAGAATCTCCAACAAAATACGTCCCCATAGGAGCACTAAAAGAATATTACACAGATCATTCATTTGGGAGAATATTTTCTTCAGCACCATTGAGCGTTTCATTTTCCAGAACTATGTGAGTGCAGCAACACAGAAGTGGTCCTGGGTTGCATTCAGCGAGTCTGAATCAACAATAACTTTAAAACCAATGTAACTGGACAGGGAATCATTTTCTTGACACTTCCTGACAGTATGACAGGTATGTGAGACTACCTGGTTATATGGTATTTTATTTAAATAAAATATGAAGAATACAGCTACTAGTAATGAACATAAAACTTGGAGTAATCCAGTATTATGAAGATGTCACATTATGGGTAAAGCTGATGTGACAGTTTTGTCAGGCAGCTTGATAATCCGTCTTTTTTGACAAATGAAATGTTGTTACTCATGATAATTACTTGTCTATACAACACCGATGAAATGGCAAAGGATACATTGTCTCTTGGTGTAACCCACATCCGGGAAACTTGACAGTCCAGTAGATCCAGACCGGAGTGTTCAGGCAGAGGTTTAGGAATGTGGGATATGATCTTTCAGCTCAACCCCATGTGTGCTCTCTGTCCCCACTTGCTGCCACTGATAGCAGGCAGCTAAACTTGGCAGTGTATGTGTGCTGTGGAGGAGGTAGTGGCCCTGTCTGGCGATGCCACCCTGTGACCCCACAGTGTCGGCGAGGACGCAGGGGAACGCAGCCTGTCGGAGCAGGTTAGAGTCTCAGTGACTCAAAGGGAGCATGAGCCAACACAGTGCAACTCAAACACATTAGAATGTTACCAAGAATAACCACACAATACACAATACTAGGGAAGCGAGTGGCTGCTATGAATACAGGAAAATATGTTTAAACATTTTGAGCGTACATCAGGTGTAGACTAACAAGTTGTGGTGCCTTTGCCTTCCTGTAATACAACTTCATGCTGATTAAAGGTCAGACTGCATGAAATTACAGGAAACACCACTAAGTCTTTCTTAAAATATAAAATCAATATGTTTTTCATAAGCCACAGTGGCAGTACCAAATTTCATGTCTTTATTGGTGTATATCAGTTTTGGTTGTTTTCACTGAGACGTTGAGGATGAAGGATGAGGTCTTTTGATGTTGCCTTTGCCTTGACTTGACTTTTCAGTCTGTCACTCTAAAACCCTGTTTCCCCAGGTTTGAAATAGCTGGTTTCACTAAAGGTAGGTAAAGGTCACATTAGCCTGCTGGTGAACCATTGTCCCACTTTCGACCCCTGAAAAGGATATGATGTCAGTGTGTTTCTTTGTTTGTAATAAATACAACAAACATTAAGTGATCACAAACTGTAAAAAAAAAAAAAAAAAATCTGTGAGGGCAACGCTGCAGTTTGTAGTTTGATATCGCAAGTTTGTACATTTTCAAAGTTGTCCAGTGAATAAGGAAGAGAATCCGCAAATTTGTCCTTTGCATGGACTTCAATTGACGTGAATGGGAGACAGGGCCAGTGTTTGCAGAGGTTTTAGGTGATGTAATGTGTAGCTTTATCAAATTTCATTACGTAGGTTGAATTTGATAGTGTATCCTAGTGTATTTTAGACAAAACTCACTCATTTCTATAATTCAACCAGGTGTTTGTTGAAAGAGCATGTTGTTGTGATGTCTCTCCACCCAGCAGGGTTTTTGGGGTCAGTTCGGTACCTTGTTTTGCAAGTGTTTGAGCGGGAGAAAAGCAGTTAAGAACAACCATGGGTTTATCACTAACCCAGGAATCGAACGTCAGAGTGACCCAAGTCCTTATCAGAGGTACCCTTGTGTGTGCGTGTTTGCACATGCATATGTTTGTCAGTTTGTGTGTGTGTGGTGATATAGTATGCTTACAGGGACGGGGTTAAAGGAAAGCAGTAGCTCACTTCTCTCAAAAGGAGCATGGTATATATTTAGCGTTATGCAATTAATAAAGTATATCCGATGCTCCCACTGGACGTCTGTCTGCAGTGTGCTACAGCCAAACCGTAAATGCAGTATTTTAGTGTGGAGCAGCGTGGATCCATCCCCCATGCTGGTTATAGATGAGTCTACCAGGAGAGTTAAGGGAAAGCTCAAATCAAAAAGTGTTTTAGACATCCATTAAACTTAACAAGATATTCTGTCAAATAGTATTAAACGAGAGGAAGTCAATTCAGACCCATTTAATGATTTAACAAACAAACTAAGAGGCCGTGCATTGTTATTCTTTTCATTTTGAGTAACATTTTTGACTTGAGCAGTTTGTATTCTGTCCTATATTTTCGTGTCCACTCTTTTATCTGTTCCTCTCTCCACAAAACAATGTGAGTTCAGATTCTTAATGGAGCACATCGACAAGGTCACTCATCGGTGACAACCTTGTATCTCTGAGCTTTTAACCCCATACTAGCCATGGTTTTGGCTGAGGCTCAGACAAAAGCCTCTATTGACTGTCCAAATTACAGGCAAAAGGGTAATTGGATCTTAAAACCTCACTTTAATACTAACTAACATGTAATACATTATTTGTTCTTATTCATCTAAACCTGTTTAGTGTTGCATTGCTTTTGGTTGATTTGCCTTTTGTCTTGTATCACTCTAAAGCACTTCACAACAGTGATAAAAATAAGTATGATTGTTGTTCCAAACAGGATATTTGATGGTAACAGCCAGTGACATTCTCAGCAGCGTCACTGCTAACTCTTATCCTGTCCCCTGCTTTGTCTCTACACTCACACTGCACAACACACTGCAAGTGAATCTGTCCATCAATAATAGATAGGAGCAATGCTTTGAGCTTTTGTTTTGAGTTCAGTGGCGCTATGTAGCCGAGCCAATGTATTATTTTGTCTGTTGCTAAACCAAGCCCACTGGAGGTAGGAAAGGAAATATGATGGTGCAGTTAGTAGAGAGGGACTGACGACTCAGATCGTCTCAGATGGATTAGAAGTGAAGCAGAAGTGTATGCTCAGCATACTGAGTGTGTATGTTTGCAGGCATTTCAAATGCTCTGAGATCATTTAAGCTGAGCTTCACTGACAAATTACAACCATTAGCATACCGAAGCGTTTGGTTGTGAAAGTCTGTTGCTCGTTTGTACTTCTTTTGATCCTCTTTATAACTTCCTCTGTCACATTTGAACATAAGATTTTAAAAATTACACTCAGTCCTAACTTGTGAGCATTTTATGTTTTCGCTCAATGTACCCTGCTCTTCTTAATACACTCATTTGCTCCCATTTACACACAGGAAGCAGACTGTAGATGTCACTTTGAAGAGGCAGAAACCAAACTACAGTGTCATTTAGCTGAGCTGTATCGTCTGCTCGTTCTGTTCATTTAGTCAGGAACTGCTGTTAGCTGTGTTACACACCAGTCCATCTTCCCTGAGCAATTCTTTCTCTCTCTGTCTTTTATCTGTGTTGACGTGTGGCGTGCACGTCCAAGTCCATGTGTGTGTGTGTATGTGTTAGTTTGAAGGGGGTATTTGGATTCCTGGCCAGTCTTCAATAAACTCAGGCTGTAGCATGTGGTGATAAGGGCCTCCATGGTGCAAACACTGACTGGAAACCATAACTCCCTCTACACATAGTTTCCATCAAGTGTGCTCATATAGGAACAAGACAGTGATTCTTTAGGGCTGTTTTCTGAGCAAAAAAAAAAACTATATCAGCTAGATGAAATTGAGCAAATACTTCAAGTTCAAGTTCAAGATTTAGTTTCTTCAGTGCCCAGTGTCTTTCAATGGGACATATTGTTCAGATTTAAAGGCACACTATGCAAGATTTTTACCTTAATATAACAGCTTCGAAGTCATTTCGATGGTAAACAAACTCGTAGTATAGCGAATCATCCCGATAGCAAAGCAGGAGAGGGACGCCGTTGGCGGAAGTCTGAAAGGTGGCGTCACGCCAAATCTCGCGAGAATCACAAATTACTTTACGGCGCGACGTCACATACATCAGCGACATAAGAAGCAGCCTCAATGGAAGACACTAGCAGGCATTCACTCAGACATTACCTGGTCAGTAGACATCTTCGTAGTCTATCTTTGCCTGTTCGACGCTTCCATCCTACTGAACATGTACCGGTATACAGGGGGGAGGGGATCAGGCCGTGAGTGCAGAGACGCAGAGACGTATATAGAGACGGCTCTGGTGAGTGGTATTTATGACAGTTAACATTAAATACAAGTACTCCGCAGTGACTCTAGGGGTAGCTGTTTGACAAAACCGGAAAAAACTGCATAGTATGCCTTTAAGTTACACTGTTTGAGTAGTTGTTGCATGTTGTTGCAAATTGTCTTATAATCCTAAATCAAATATGTACCAACAATATAATTTATATGATACATATAATAATCCTAATTTCAAGCATTTCTTGCCCACACCATTTGTGATTTCCTTCTAATTGATCTTCCACTTTTATAAAGAATAAGCAAACAATCAGCTTTCATGAGCAACCTTTTATAAGTTATATACACCCTTCCCAGGTATGTACATATATTTACAAACATATATGGCAGATGCTTGCAACATGACATAATATCACACTTTATTCAATCAGCTAGATTTTTTTCTTTCTTCTATTAACTACACCAAGTTCTGAAATAATTACTATCAGCACAGTTATATCTAAACAGGAAACATGCTTTCCAGTGCCTCTTTTTATGGGGCCAATTATGATTGTTTGTTCTGTCAGCTGATTGGCAAATAAACTGCGATGGTGCCAAATGAATCCATTCAGAAGGTCTGCCCTTCACCACGACATCTCTTGCCAACGGAAATGAAAAGTTAATGAGCTTGCCCTTGCCTCAATGCCCAGTGCACATAAACAGACATCCTGCTAACAGACAAGTGGGTGAAATATAGGCCGAACTTTAACTCTAATAACGAGGCAATACGGCAAAAATAAAAACAGGAACTGAGGCTGTTCCTGGTTTAACTGGCTGAAACAAGTGCAACGTTTTGAGTTTGAGAATGGCTCATCACCTATATTGCAGTCAGCCCTGCTTTCCGATTTCTTTCGCTACCATCAAATTGAACAGGATCTCTCCCTCTTACTTTTATAAACGGCTGTGAAAAATGACCACTATAATGTACTTGGTGTTACAAAATGCTATATAGAAGCCTTTGTTGTAAATATAAGCCACTCTTTTTTTCTAAGTAACAAAAACATGGTAAGAAAAATATTCCTGAAATCCTCTTGGTCAATTTGTAATTACTGCTGAAGAGTAAAAAAAGACTCCACATAACAGAGTGTTTTTGGTGTAGGGTCACAGCAGCTATAAAATATCTTTGTCTTAAGTAGAGGAGTTACAGGCGTCTTATTGTTGCTGCAGTTAAAACACTTGTGACCTTGAGGGGGAATAAGGAGAATGTTAAGGAGCAGTTTAACGTTTGTTGATACTGTGTGTGTGTGTGTGTGTGTGTGTGTGTGTGTGTGTGTGTGTGTGTGTGTTTCTCATTATTTGACAAGTTTATCATGCACTTTGCATTCATATGGTGGAGTTCAAAAGGTTCACAGAATTTCCTCCAGAGGGCTGTCCTTGAATGTTTGCTCAAATTCAGTCAGATGCTTTTCATGACAAAAATATAAAGTAATCGTATGCTGTCTTCAGACTTTTTTTTAAAAGTTGTTCAGAATCTCAGACTCAAACCAAACACCGAAATCAAAGTCTGAAATGTTGACATAAATATGAAGTGGAAGGCTGAAAAGTGGTTTGAGGAGATTTGTGTTTTCATGACTTGACTGATGACAAGTTATGTAAAGTTTTGATTTGAGGAAAATTATGTTTTTAAGTAAGCCAGAGCTGGTATGACATAACTATCCAATTGGATTAGGATATACAGGGTTTCCACTCTTTTAAGATATCATTTTCAGGACATATAGGACAGCATTGCTTACAAATTGTCAAATATTTTACCAGTCTAGTGTCATATTTGACTCACATACATTTTTTAACGATGCAGTGTCTCAGGTTCATTCCATTCCACCATTACTTTGGTGGCAACCCATAAGTAACAGTTCAATTTATTTTTTTTTACAGAAAATTATTTTTCTCACCTAATAAAAAGAAAAACTAGAAAGGGTTAGTGCATGCACAATTAAACATTGCTGTGCATGTATTTAACAGCAACAACAACAAATGTAAATGTGATCATTAATAGGCTGTATTCAGATAGATATGATCCTCTACAACATTTCCACTGTGCTTCTCCTCTTGTGCCTCTGGAAAATCAAAGTTAATAGCAAAAATAAATATTGCTATAAATCCGTTCTGGACTAAAATACAGGACAGCAGATTATTTTCATTTTCAGGTGTTTCTATGACTAGAAAAAAAGTCTTAATTTTCCAGGTTTTCCAGGATGAAACCATTGGAACCTTAAATATACACAAAGGAAATAAGAATGACCACTAATGTATGATCTGCTTTATTTCCTACAGGTTTCTCATAGTCCTGGCCTGTCTCATCCTCAGCGTTCTGTCTACCATCGAACAGTACCAGGCCTTGGCTCACACAACACTCTTCTGGGTCGTAAGTGTTAAATTTAATTTTATACTGGAATTAACTATTAAAAAAACATTTGTCCCATTGTCAGAATGGATCTACCTTTAGGAGAAGTTTTAGATTAAAAACTAAAAATCACACTAGATGATTTTAATCCCAATTGGACCACCCTAACCCTACTCTCAACCCTAAATTGAGAGGGGTCAGAAGGGTGAAGATAGGAGGTGCTTGGTAATAAACAGGACAATAAGCCAACATTCAAGATATGTATTTACATTGACTCCTCCATAAATGCTGCATGTCTCTGGTGGAGCATGCCTTCAGCAGACCAGGGTTATATGAATTTGGAATATGATAGCTTCTCCTTTTTGGACTCTCTGGGTCTCTTTAGTCCTAAAGGTCAGCACTATCAAGATAGTTTTCAATAAGTCTGCAGTGTGAATTCTCCAGTCAGTGTACTTTGCAGAACTTTTAGTTCAAAGTGTGGACCCAGGTGCAGAACACAGATCAGGAGGCAGATTTATTGAATAATTTTTGTTGTTGGAGATGGGTAGTGGAGACGGGATGGCTGGTTTCGGTAAAGGGAAGGTGGAATAGATGAGGCTGTATGGCAGACAGAGGGAGCGAAGGAGAGCTGGTTGCAGGCAAACCCAAATCTTGAGACACAAGGAAATACAGGCTGAAGAACTAAACATGAAGAAAACAGAATGCTAAAGACATGATCTGAGCTGATGCGAGGCAGGTGAGCCGACTGGGAGTGGTGATGAGCTATAATAGCAAACTGGTGTGCAGAGGAGCAGAGCTAGGAAGGGAGACCACGCCCACAAAAACTGGAAACACAGGGAAGGGAAAATGCATGGATACGGCTAGGCCTGTCACGATAATAAGTTTTGCTGGGCGATAAATTGTCCTGATATAATGATAATGGCATAATAATGCAGGTACACATTTTCAAAGATCAATAAACATTTATTTCTAAACAACATGTAAAACTGGAACTGGAAGACATTTTAAATATCCACAAGAAATGAACAAAACAACCAAAAACAATAAATAAAATGGAAATTAAAAACCACACTCTGCCAGCTTTTCGACGATACTAAAGAGCAGCATCTCTTCAGCAATGAAGCGAACTACACTGTCTGTGAGTGCACACCATTTTGCACTGTCCTGTTTGTACTTTGTTTGTTGACTAAACGCTGTCTGATTGTGCACTGTCGGGAAGACGGAGACGCCCATCTGTAGTAGTTTTTTTTCCCAGCTGGGAAAACTGCATCGGATTATTATGTTTTAGGGGCATATGCATGTTTGTCGTGTTACTGCTTTTAAGACATACGGTTTTACCACAAATGCGACATACCGACTCGCTCAGGTTCAGTGGTTCACCTCGGTCATTAGGTTTAAATCCGAAGTGCTCCCACACTGCAGCTGTAGCGTTTGGCTTTGAAACCAAATCCATGTTTTCCTCCAACTCTGAACTAGCGTTTTCTCTTGCTATACTCCTCACGCGGCTCTTTTGCTGTACTCTGTGGTAGGCTACGCCAGGAGTCCCGCCTCCCCTCACAGAGATCATGCGGCTGACAAGTGACTGACACGAGGGTTCACTCCTCGTTACGCTAAGGAACCAAGAGGGGTCACCGTTGCACTGGAGTGGTCATCCAGTCTCTTTGGTAGAGAGAGAGACGAGGAAAACAAACAAGCATGCAAATGGAAACTATCGCGGCCGAAAAAATTATCGAGCTCATTTTATTTATCGTGCGATTAATTGATTTATCGCATATCGCGACAGGCCTAGATACGGCCATGACAGAGGATTTACTTTTGCTCTGTGGATCCCAATGATTTTTTTGAATGAACTGATTTCACTCAAGAATCCGACATAATTTATTCCAGTGCGTGAGAATTTCGCTACACCCAGTCTGGTTGTGCTCATGTAGTTTGAAGCAATCAAAGACTGAAAGGTTGAAATCTGAAAGTGATTCTGGCAACAGCTAAGGGGAGTTACTAAAAGAGAAGATTGCCTTTAACACCAGCTCCAAGGCTTGTGGTATACTCCCAAAAACATTATATAGAGCACTTCCACGGACAAAACAACTTGTGTTCCTGCATGTTAAATTGTCTAATGTTGCGATGCAGAGATAGCCAAATTTACTCCAATCTACAAAGTGAAAGTGATAATAGCATGAGTACCCCTCACTTACATGCAGTTTCACACACAGTATCTGTCTTTGCAGTTAATGGTAGCAATGCTTCATAAAAGGAGACAGACAGCTGGTGTAAATATACATAAGCTTTCAGAGTACATGAAAAAAGCTTTACAGATATGTTTCCAAGTATTTTCCTAGGCCTCAAGCATGCACATAATGTGTTCGGGCTAGAAATATTGAATGTAAACTAGACAAGAAAACTCCCCTGTTTATCTTTAATGATCCCGATCAGTGGGCTATGAATGTGTTTGAAAGATACTTGTGGAGTGATTGAGATTTGAAAGAATCTAAAATCTCAAGCGAAAGATGCACCTTTTATCTTATAACAGCACTGTTTACATTGTAGATACCGCCTGTAGCCTTTTCTCCCTCTGCTGTCTCCGGATCTGATCTTTCCTTTGACTTTCACCATCTGCTCCGCACTTTTGTTTTGTCTGTTTCTGCTGGCTGCCACCTGCAAACAGGCCTGATTCTGATATATTAAGTCGTTAAGGATGAGTTTTGTTCCAAATACATGTCAAACAACTCATTTAAATAAATTAAAGGATAATGATGCTAAACAAAAATGCAGTTAGACATTGAGTTGTCATAGTTTTTCGAAATGACACATATGACGGATAACCTTGTTTAATACAGCACAGAATAAACTTTAGAGTAAACGTATGTTAAATTAATTATAACAGTTTTTTTGAATTTTTGAATTTAAAGATGACGCTGAAATAACAATCAACACTATGATTGTGAAGATGTTGATAAAACTGTAGATATCAAACCTCAGTTTCTGTTGTTTGAAAAGCAATTTCATGGGTTGATTGACCTCACTGCTGCCTCACAAAAAACAATTTAGGGACGCGACATATGCTTCTTTTTCTAAAAACAATTTCAGGGTGTCCCGCTGGCCTAAGAGGACGAAGGCCCGTCCTCTAGAATCAATAGTAAATGGGATAAACTTAACCCCGAGACTCTGGCTGCTGAGCACAGGAACTGTTTGGGTGATGGGTGAGTCACTCAAGCTCAGACAAAAGAAAACCCCAAGAAAGGATAGAAAGGACTTGAGGATTTTCTTTAAAGGAGGACTAGAGCATGGCACATGTGACAAGTTCACCTTGGACTGGGTATAATAGGATAAAATGGTCACGGTGTTTCATGAGCTGGAGAATCAGAATCTCAAATCCTACAGGTTCATTGTTGAATTCATAGAGATTTGGGCTGCTGCAGAGGCTCCTGTGTGTGAGTCGGACCCATAATTAGTAAGAAATGTGTGAATTTTGTTAATAAATACCGTAATATCATGAAATATACATTTTATAGCAAAATGTTTTTCAGCCTAAAGTTCACCCCTGGAGATATTTAATCTTCTTATTCTTCTCTTCTACACAGATAATGAATAATTAATATTTGCTACGCTGCTAAACCTACCAAAATCTCAAACATTCATCTTTTCCACCCTCTATCCCAAAGGGCCTGTTTTGTACTTTGTGCTTTCTAGTTTAGAGATTTGCTCTGACCCTGCCACTCTTTCATTCTCTCCTCCCCAATTGCAGAAGCATCTTCTTTGTCTTGCTTCTTTCTTCCTGCACACTCAAGGTTAACAGAGACCACTCTGTTCTTTACTTGGAGATGCAGCACTGGCTCACAGTGTTTGTAGTAGTGTGTTTGGCCAGATGCTTGGCAGTTAGCCCAAAGGATTCACATTCTCAAAAGAACTTGTTTTTTGGGTCAAAAATGGCTGTGAACTATTAAAAAGTATTTTTTTTTTATTTCATTTTGCAACAAAATCCTGGCAGCAGTGGTGGAAAAGAGTACTGAAAATCTGTACTCAAGTAGTGTTACATTACTGAAATATTACTCAGCTTTAGGTAAAGCTACTGGTGTTAAAAAAATAATCAAGTAAAGGTAGAAAGTATACTTATCCAAAACTGTATTGGGTACTTTTTAACCATTGGTGCAGTATCAATACCAGGCATTCAGTGAAAAGAGGAGATGTACAATGTAGAATCCATGTAGAAAATATCGTCAAGCATACAAAAAATGTTTTTTAACCTACGCAGAATGTATGTAATTAGTATAGATTTCTCCCAATGCACTGTAAACAGTCATCCAGGCAAGGGCCTAATCTGTATCCATTTGGTTTCTGTTTCTGCAAATCTTCATTCCCTAAATGACTCCCAACTCCTGCGCTATTCTGATCCGTGTTTTCGTGCCAGATTTGCTTGCAGCATGTGGAAAAAATAGAACAGACGCAGAAACTATCTCTGTAGATCGGGAGGTGCATGCCCCGCACCGCACTGCACACTCTCACTCTAACCAGCCCAATTAGTTAAGATGGGCAGTGGGCAGCGTTTCAGAGTGCTTTGCGGCACTTCTACCTCCTGTACGTCCCTAGCAGTGCAAAAAAAATAAAAATGCAGATGAAAGGTTTGGATATAAATTGTAGACCTAGTCAGTAGCGAATTATGATTTTAAAAGTAGCAAAGTAGATTCCATAGTCTAATGCATACTTAGGTAAGAGTAAAATTACAGGCTTGAAAAACAACAAATAAAATTACCCAAAAACGGTAACGCGAGTAGTTGTAATTAGTTATTCTACCCATGCCTGGCAGCATAACTGTTTTACCAACAAAGACAAAGTCTCTTATGAATGCAAATTACTTTATAGTTAAGGGATTTCAATGATGGCTGGGGCAGGAGGGATGACAGGGGTCGAGACTGAAGGGTGGGATGAAATGAGGGTCAAGCATGAGGGGATGAACCAAGGGCCAAATGGCGATCGATGATGGGTTTAGGTCGAAAGAGGCAGTGGAGAGGATCTCAGGAAGTGAGACTCAGTGTGGGGGTAATGACTAGATGGGATATCCTAGTGTTATTGTTCCCCTTGTGGTTCCTGTAATGAGAAGGAGGTGAGGAGGCAGAGAAGAAGGGAGTGGAGTAGGAGGATGAGGGATGTGAGAACTGAGAGATATGGAAGACAAAGTGGTTAGGCAGAAGTAGTTGGATGAGAATGGGGATTGGTCTTTGTGGGATTCATTATAAATCATTACAAGGTTTAGGCAGGCATAAATTGAATTTCTTTCCTTTTAAAGATTGCCCTGATTCTAAAAGATCTGAACAATATAATAATAGCAATATTATAATAATAGTGTCCATTTTAAATGTCCATACAACAAATATAAGTCATAGAAACTAATTCCAAAAATAATTTGTTTTTATGCTTTAAAGACTAATTTATAGAAATAACTGAGAGTCCCATTTTCCCCTCCTGGACCAACAATAAAACATTCTGTAGCCAACTGGGTGATAAATAGACAATAGAAGATGATGATCTTGTAAGCAATTTAAAATCTGTGAATACAATACAATCTAAACTCAATGCTCTCTTTTTTGATTGTTCTGGTATTTCAACTATATCACAGTCGTCTGTTTCCAAGGTCGAGAAATAATTTCCAAGCTCAAATAAAAACAACTGTCTTGATTCTCCTCTATTCCTGTTTTTGCTGCCTTCCTGATTGTAACTGTATTGCTGTTTTGGATAGACCATTTGCTTTTCAACCTTGAAGTAGAAATCCTCACAGAATAAATTAATTAATACAACATTTTTCATATTTGCTTCCAAGAACACAATTTAACATATTATTAATCCAATTTTTGTTTTGCAAGACATGGTATTTTATATTCACTGACGTTTTAATCTTTGGCTCTGATGAAGAAAAACACTTCCAGTAATTCCAAGCTGTAAATGTCTCCTGTTGTACAACATGGAACACATCTTCTGCCTGAATCCACACATTTGTTCCTCCCATCATTCACTGCAAAATGATCATGTCACCATTGAAAATCTATGAAAGGCTATTGACTACTTTCAGACAGCTTCATTTCCAAATGCTTGTCAATGATTAAGAGACGTGTGTAGGCAATCACATTCACACCAGTCCATTAATTTCCACATGTTGGCGTAATTGTGTGCTGTAATTGATTTTTTGAATCCATTTGTCCTCAAGGAGCACTGGGGAAACTTGCATGGAATTGAAATAGCAGCTTTATTTGAGAAGCTTTAATTGTATGAGCTTCATGTTTAACATTGGCCACATGCTGTTCTGACTTCTTTCAGTTATTGTCAGTCTGAATAAAAAAAAAAAAAATGAGAATAAGAAAGAGGAAAATGAGAAAGTAATCTGGATGCGGTACGGTAAATGTGAAGCAAGCTTAGAACAAAGCTCTGTTTGAAGGTAATCAAAGTGTTGTCGTCACTGTGAAGTTGTTACAGTTCTTGTATGGATTAAACAAATTAGATATAAATTGTTATTAATTGAGCTTTACAGATGCTGGTAGGTGGATTTTGCTACTCTGGACAGCGCCAGGCAAGCTGTTCTCTATTGTTTCCAATCTTTGTGCAAAGTTAAAGATAGTGATATCTGTTTTGTTAAATATTAGGGAGAAAGCAAATAAGTGCATTTCCCAAAGTTTGGCTCATTGAAGTGAACAAAATACAGATAAATATAATCAAACTAGTTGTCAGGATACATAATCACTTTTTTAATCTATCAGCTCAAAGTACATTCCGCGGCTGAAATAATTAAACAGTTAAACAGTGGTATGGTACAAATTAAACAGTGACAAATGGTGCATCTGTTGAGTGAAAATCAATAACCCTTAATGAATTGCGGCGGCAGGTTTGTGTGAGGAACTAAAGTTAACAAAAAAAAGGAAGTTGGGAGAACAGTTCTGTAATCTATAATTCAACAATATCTCTTTGAAAGCACTCTTTGCTGAGTGTCTGAGCAGCTGTGTTGTTGCACTAAATAACCTGAAATGACATCTGATGTTCGATTTATTTTTATTTTTTTCCACTTTGTCCTTCACCCTCATTTGTCTTTTCTGTTTCCCTCATTTCCCTGACAGGAGATCGTCCTTGTGGTGTTCTTTGGTGTGGAATATTTTGTCCGGCTCTGGTCAGCAGGCTGCCGCAGTAAATATGTTGGCATCTGGGGCCGACTACGCTTTGCCAGGAAGCCAATATCTATTATAGGTAGGAACACAACCCTCGCACGCACACGTATCTGTACACATACGCACAGACGTCTCACTCCCCACCCACACACAATATTTAAACAATATCTGTAACATATCCTGAGCTTCATCCCTAAATGAAATATCTCAGACAAATTCAGCATGAAATTAAAACTGTCACTGGAATATTTTTTTCTACCTTCAGCTTTTTATTCTTAAAATTGGAACCTCCAGGTGCTTCTTTAAATTTGCAGCAATGAATAATAGCATTAATATTATTTGTAACCCCTCTCACCCGTATCGATTTATAGAATAATTTTGTAATGAAAACCAATGATAATTTCTTAATAGAGCACTTTCCATCCACTTATTAATATCTGGACCTTCTTCTTTGACTTTTACATACCTCATATGGAGGACTCTTGTTATGCTGCACCTGTGTATATTGAATATCTACATGTCTCTGCGATATTTATACTTTAAACCCCTCATTCTCTATCAATACAGATTTGATTGTAGTCGTTGCGTCAGTAGTTGTGCTGTCAGTGGGATCGAAAGGCCAGGTCTTTGCTACCTCTGCTGTAAGGTAAGGGACAGTGAATGTGCTGGTGGAAACTATAAGACCAAAAGTATGTGAACACTTTATGTACTTATGGGGCCCCCTAGTTCCAATTGAGGGAAATCTTACTGCTAGAGCAGCAGTTATTGTTAGACAATAGTATACTTTTTACTTTGTGGCAACAGTTAAGGGAAGGCTCTTTCAACATGATAATGCCTGTGCACAAAGCCAGGTCCCTAAAGAAAAGGTTTTCCCAGTTTGGTGTGGAAGAGCTTATCTGACCTGCACGGAGCCCTGACCTCAACCCCATCCCATACCAACTGTGAGCCAGATCTTACCACCTAATAATCTGTGGCCAACCTTACTAATGCTCGTGTGATTGAATGGGAGCAAATCCTGCAGCCAGGCTCCAAAATATTGTGGAAAGCTTTCACAGAAGAGTGAAGACTGTTACTAACCTTGCGAGACAGCTGGACTCTCAATATTCCAAAACCATGTGAGAATCCATCTTACCAGACCTCAATATTGTTTGTGGTACCGGGCCAATTAGCGTCCTTTGAGAAAGTACTGGCATGTATGGGGGTGAGACGCCCACACCACACCTAGATACTGTTTATTAAACAACGGCGGCTCCAAAAGCAATGCATGCTGCATCAGTTTATTAGAACTGGAGAGTATGTATTCATTAAAAGAAGAGCAAAGAACAGCAGAGGATTTTCTCGATGGAAAATGTGTTTTTCCTCTTCGACTGGGTTCTGTAAGAGTTTCACTACGTTATATGATTCCCAGGTTATGCTCTTACTCTTACAGCAACAGATTAAGGGTGGGTTTGGAATGTGATGTTGAATAATCACATATACTCTGTCTTGAATGTCCACATACTTTTGGTTTGTATTTGTATGTTTATGTTTAAATACGTGCATACATGCATTTGGTCTGAATACAGTGTCACCATTTAAACACTTCTGTTATTTTCCAGAGGGATTCGCTTCTTGCAGATCCTGCGAATGCTCCATGTGGATCGGCAGGGAGGAACCTGGCGTCTCCTCGGCTCCGTTGTCTTCATTCATCGGCAGGTACACAATCACAGTTTTCAGAGGCACATTTCAGGTCCAAAGCCATCAGGGCTTCTGATTATTATTAGTAAGGTGGGAGCTTTTTGTCAGGGGATTTATAGCCTCTCCTCTTCATGTATTATGTTTCACTACTACACAATGCAGATTTTACTCATGGGAATGCATATTACAGCAAAAAGGAATATTCAGCAGAACCAGATGAAAAGAGTTACTGTGCTGTAAGCTAGGGTCATATACGCTTATTCTGCTAGAGATACCTATAGCCCCTCTAGAGTATCATTCAGCTGAAGTCACAGAGGTGGCTGTGATTATCCCCAGTGGCCACTGTAGTTGTCTTTAGATGTCTTTGTAAAAACAGAGAGTGATGAAGGTGAGCAGAGCGTCAGGGATGTGGTTCATCCAATACCGCCTGCTGTTCTTCCTTGTATTGGCCTTGGCTGATGACCATATTGTTTCTGGCTGAGGCTGGCCAGTAACAGCCACTGACCTCAGCTGTAAAGAAAGTGAGTGCTGGTGCAGGGAGATATTGAAGCTCTTTCTCCAACCAATTCCTATACCAGCTAGCTACGAGGTGTCACTCCGCATTAAATCACACTATATAGGGCACCTCAGCTTGAGGATGAAATATATCAGGTAGGTATTTTGCCATAACCAGGAAACATCTGTCACCATGGATACAGAGAGATCATGATAGTTCATTAAGCTGTTGTTATGTTGTGTTTCCCTGCAGTACAGTAGCTTCTCACAAGCAATAAAATAGATGCATTCTTTATTAAGTGGTTGAAAGGTACATATGGGTAAAATAAAATATCTCAAATAAATTTAGGTAGAGACAAAGTAATGGTTACTTTTATTTTACACTTATCAAACTGCACATTCTGTTTTATAGAACCCACCATGAAAAGACAGTGTAGGGGAAGTGTAATAAAGGTTTAGGCCACTAGTTTTCCCCCTTTTTTCCCTTCTCAGATTGCTCAATTTGATGTACTTTCATAAGCCTGAAGAGGTGTCATTACCCAATATTTCAGGCAAAACAAGCAAAAATTAGAAAAAGGACAGAAATATATAATTATTCATTCCATTAATCATCTTGTGAACCCCTCAGATTTATCGACAATCCAGGTCAACAAACTAGGAATGCACCCAAACCAATAACAGTGTCGGGTATCAGGTGCTCATGTACTGATGTAAAACTACTTAGATACCACACCTAAAATGATATTTTACAAAGTAGCAAGGAATTTAAATTCATATTTAATCCATTATCCAACATCTGCATTTCCCCTGCACTCACAGTAGTGGAGAATGACAAGTTAGCTGTGATGTAGGCTATTTGAGGGTTTAAGTGGCCAATTCTTTTCCACATTAATTGGTTTGGGATGGACCTTAATATGGCACAACCCTTCACACAAATGGAGGCAGTGGGGAAATGGTAAGAGAGCTTATCTGTGAGAGTTTAGTGCTTTCATGTTCTTTTTTTCTGCCTTTGTTCCTTTTTGCACTACTTGTTTGGTTCTTATGAAAGAAAATGCTCTATTAAGGCCCCACACATCCCTAACAACTCTGCACAATGAAAATAAAGTGTGTTGCCATACAGCAGGCAGTTAATACGGTGAGGTCAAATTACCATCAACCAGCTGGACACCAGCGTGCACTACCTCCAGTATTTGTTCCTTTGTAATTTCATGACATGAGACCTGAATATTTTGTTCAGCCATCCTCTTACATAAACACATGAAACTGAACACCATTCTAGTTCTTGTGGCTTGTAAACACAGTTTGCATAGTTGCTTCTTGCTCGCTCACTGGCAGAATTTCTCTTGAACGTGTTTTCCAGGTCACAGCAGCAGCAGCACATTTACTGATCCTGTGGTAGTGACTCAAGGAAGATGTGCCTGAATGCATTGAAAGCTGTTTCCAAGAATCATGCACTTATAGGTTACAAGCAGGGATGTTAGCTGAAGGTGTTACAGGCTGTCATATTCACTGCCAAAGTTCACTGTCAAGAAATGTCCAAAACATTCAGAAACAATTAGTGTAGTCATGTGAAGAAATACAGACAGTACTCGCTGAGTACCAATGGACCATATGTACTATTTGTATAGGGCAATGTAAGGATGTAAAGGCAAACAAGCACCGTTTTTTGCAATAATCTGCTGCTGTTTCTCTGTGTTGCTCTGAAAAATCTGGGAGTGACAGTTTTGGGCCGAGACACGAATAAGAATTTTACTCATCAGGAATTCAGTCCGATTTAGTGCTGCAAGTGCTCCGGCACTCTGAGTAGTTAAACACAGTTTTAAATCACGTAGTAGGTGAGTGCAAAGAGAACATTCACTTGAAGAACTGTTTCACAAAGCAGTAGTCCAATTACTGTCAGACAGGAGAAGAGCCATGCCCAATTAGACCTCCTGAGCAAATCACAGGCTTGAATCTGCAATGAGATGCTTGGAAGTTATTTTAAATACACCAGGAGAGATCAGCTGTCTGGGTTTCAAACTAATTTCTAATGATTTAGTGCCCATCTGAATTCAATCAACAACCTTCCAGTAATCAGTCATCATTATTACTGAACATACTTTCAGTTTAAACTCAGTTGTACTTGTACTATGTTCTTGTGTTACTTATTTTCAAGATACTTACTTCTTTGAAGATGAGGAATTACTATATAAATACTGAAGTAGTGTTCATTTTGTCAAATATTTTTAGATTTAGGCTTAGTATTAGAGATAAAAAATCTGTTAGTTTTAGTCATATTTAGTCAACTCCATTTTTTTTTTTTTGTCAATTTCTAGTTAAAAACCCTTTTTTTACAGACCAAATACAAGTACAAGTACTTACTGATACCGAGTACTGACAAGTACTGAAGTACTTAATAACACCATTACAGTTCAATGTACAATGACTTTGAAAGCATGTTTTATTTGTATGAGATGTAACTCGCTTTCTGACTGTAACAAATGCTTCCTCAAACAAGAGGTTAAGTAATGTCAGTGGTATCGGTGTATTTTTATGATTACAATTGCAAGTACATGAGCACGCATCAGTATTGGTGCCTCCCCTGTAGCTACTCAGCTTAAAGTGAGTCCACCATTAATTCTTAGGCTAGCAGAGACAGCAAAAATGTTCAGAAAAAGATTTTAATCATAATTCACAGCACATTTACATGAATATTCACATCCATATGTCATATTATTAGCAAACACAGTCACACTAGACGCCACATGGCAGTTAAGTGGTAAACTGATACTGCGGCAATCAGGCGGGATTGTGTAAGAAAGTATATATAGATTCACAGATGTCATGTCATATAATCTTATGATGTACCTTGTAATGATTCCTTCGTTATTTATTGAGTTTGAAATATGTGTATATTTATTTCAGGAGCTGATCACTACCTTATACATTGGCTTTCTGAGCCTGATCTTCTCCTCGTACTTTGTCTACCTGGCAGAGAAAGATGCAGTCGACAGCAGTGGCTCCACGGAGTTTGGAAATTATGCTGATGCCCTGTGGTGGGGAGTGGTAAGTGTGTGTGTGTGTGTGTGTGTGTGTGTGTGTGTGTGTGTGTGTGTTTTACTGGACCAGTTTCTATTTTATTTTGGAATTTCCCTATTGTGTGATAAATAAAGGAATATCTTATCTTATCTTATTTTACACATCTGATATAGCAAGGAATATGATGAGGTTTGATTTGACTGTATTTTTGTTGCATCATTTTGAATTAACTAATTTCTTAAAGGAATAGTTTTGTTTTTTAGACATTTTGGGAAATAGACTTGAAGAGAGGATTGATTCTTACTTGTACACACATCTGCATTTGTAGAACAGTCAATATAAACGCCCTCTCTCCACAATGACCCGTGATTGGCCAAAGTCTCCTGTCACTGGCTTGATTTTCTGAAGCTTGAAAACAAAGCCAAGAGGAAGTGCAGAGGTCGCTCTCGGACCACTTGAATTACAATATGCTCAGAGGTTATTGCGGATTTTTTGCAGAATGGCGCCAAAAAATAGCTTCTTACCCCAGTGTTAATTATATTGTAAGTTTCAAAGAAAGATTAAATGTTGTCTTAGTGACTTTCTTTCCAACTAAGATTTTGCAGAAAACAGTGTCTTGTTTTAAACAGTATTTGGCATGTGAAAGGTCAAATATAGACTCTGTTTTATCTGTGCTACTCTTGTTACAGTAGGAGTTGAGTGAAAACCCTTGGGCATATCCAGTGGGCCGCTAATACAAGAAGCAAAACAAATAGTGTAGAGAATACGGGATGAAATTTTATTTTCAGACAATAAGTCACCACCCACTCTGCTTCTTGGAAACTTCAGGGACTCTGATATTAAAAACTGTACACACACACAGCAGAGTCATAACAACTTCTCTCATATAAATGAAGCTTTACTGGCAACATTTATGCATTATTTACTGTGAGTTTTATCGGGTTTGGGTCCACTCTCACATACTCACTCTCTGCACTGGGTACTCTCAGTGCATGGAGAGAGTCAGATAGGTGAAAAGGTCAGAGTTGTGGTTGGAGGGTCAGGGAAAATATACACCTAATGCGCTGCAGTAGACTACTAGGATTGATCGCAAGCAGCCAGAGCTGTTTTTTAGTCTTTTGGGTCAAGTCCAAGTCCAAACAAATCATTTACATGTCAAGGATGCTGACCAGTAAGATTATATTTGAAGAATTTCCTTATGAAGCTGTGTTTGTAGTGTTCTTACTTAGTTTTAATGCTTTTAATAAGCTAACACTAGCAATACTGGCTCTAGGGATGTCAATTTTGGCCAGTGAGTTGGTCCATCACTTTGGTCTAGACCAGTGGTTCTCAAACTTTTTCTGGCAAGCCCCCCTTCAGAAGCTGAAAGAAGTTCACGCCCCCACCACGCCACAATTTTTAGCAATCATTAACAATGACAGGGGAGCCAAAACTAATAAAAAATAATCCAAGTTAATTTTTTGTGAAATAAAGGTCAGCACAATAGCATCAGCAAACTCTTTTTTGTTTATTTTCCCTAAATCCTAAAATGTATTTAATTTTGTTGCACTCCATATTTTCCCCCTGGTCAACGCATCTGCATTGGCTCTATGCTCCACCAGTTGGGCCCGCAGTTGGAGAACTTCTGGTCTAGACTGAAATATTTTTCCTCTTGCGGGCACATTTTCAGTTTGGAGTAAAATGTCTCAGAAACTATTATATTGATTACGATTAAATTAACATTCATGCTTCACTCAGGAAGCATAAATGAAGCATGCACGAAGCAGGCAGTCACTTTTTCACCCTGAGCCATCCATAGCTCATATCTTAATGACTCAATACCTGCAAAACAACTGACATTCCCATCAGTCGTTAGTTAGTATTTAGTTAACAAGTCAGCTTTGCAATGGACCAAAAATGTTATCGATAGTTTTTGCTGTTGATTTTTTCTCTTTTTCCTCTGGCAACAGCTATTAACCAAATTCTGATTCATAACAGCAGTGTTAGTTTTTACAGTCTTAAACTGCCAGAATGACACTTCTTGAATTATTTCCCATGTGTTTTTTTCCAAGGTGACAGTGACTACCATTGGATATGGAGACAAAGTGCCACAAACCTGGATTGGAAAGACCATTGCGTCCTGTTTCTCAGTCTTTGCCATTTCGTTCTTTGCTCTGCCTGCAGTAAGTGGACAGAGAAATTGCTGAACCATGGCATCTTTCAGTCTTACATTGTGCTCACAAGGATCTGTATCATTATCAATCCTTCTCTCATGTTTCCTATCACATGCAAATGTTACCAATCGGAAAATAATCAATGATTGAATGTTTTCCATCAGATTCATTCCTATTTAACTACATTTGTAATTAGTTTGGTCTTTTAAGTGTGTATTAAGAAATATAAAGTGCCTATTTTAGGCTTATGTGTAAACCACTAAATCATAACAAAGCTGGCTCCGACATGTTTCACCAGCCACTGCATAGATTGGAAAGGATTATAGTTAAACAGTGCTGAGAGCTTTATACATAATAGTATGCCTTAAGTGCTGCTAGGACCTTGACAAGCCATACAATGGCTTTACATTCTCCTGCCAGATTATTAATGAAGACAGACTGCAGCTCACAGGATTACATTAAATGTTATCCCTTTTTGTTACTGAATGTCTGTCTGAGGACTTCAGAGTTGTAGAGTTGTGATATGCATTCAAGATTAACAGTAACTGTGATTTTACTTTACAGTTTTGTGCTTAAAGGAATTAGGATTAGGCAAATAAAGTTTGTTTTCCATTATCAATTTTGGATTATTCTTTGGTTCAATATCCATAGTGAAGTGTGTAAAATGTCTAAAATAGTTAAGAGTTCAAACGGTTTTCAATTTGCAGTGCTATGAAATTTAGAGAAGCAAGGAAGCCCTCACATTTAAGCAACTGTAACCAACAAATGAAGCTGAGAAAATACTCGATTAACAAGTGATTCACATTTTATTGCATTCATTTCTGTCTATGAACAAAGTGAATAATATACTTAATGTCTCAGCATTAAACAGCACATTTTTCCTTAATTTTGAGGTAAACTTTGTGTTTATGTCTTTTGGATCATATCATATCGTATCATGCTGCTGCTACGTCGTTCACACTGACTTAATTTGCAGTACCTTTGCTGTGCTGTTGTTCACAGGGAATCTTAGGTTCAGGCTTTGCCCTGAAGGTGCAGCAGAAGCAAAGACAGAAACACTTCAATAGACAGATCCCTGCAGCTGCCTGTCTCATTCAGGTATTTTATATTTGACCAAAGAAAATACTGAAACGGAACCGCAATACAGCTGGGGGACTGAACTGTCTTGAAGCCCCAGTCTTATTATTGAGACCATCCTTTCATGTAACCCTTATTTTCTTTCTTGCATGGCACACATGTTGGCATGAAATTAGTCCTGTCCAACCAATATATTGCTATTTTCATGCCCCTCTAGACATCATGGAGATGTTTTGCGGTGGAGAACTTGGATTCTGTCACATTCAAGATGTTTTTGAGGAAGAGATCCAACATCCCCGCCTCCTCTCTGTCCACCCCCAAGCCCAAGAAATCGGTTAGTAATCATTTTATATATTTCTCTGTAACTGCTTCTTATGTTCAGTTTCCAGTTTATTATGTACAGGCAAGGCAAAACTAATGCAGTATGAAGCAACAGCTCTGCAATACCATAAATCCTACCTTCATGAAGGTTATGTTGATTCAACTTTATGGCCATTTTGAAGGCTGTAGTTTGTGGTGTGTTAGAAGTGAGGCGCATTTCTGTAGCGGTTAATTCAGCTGTAATTTATAAATTAAATGAATCCCAGTCAAAAGGGCTTAAACTCTTATTACTAAATATCCAGTGTAAGACAGACCCAGGGCCATATAATCTACACTGCATTATTTGATGTTGCAATAATTATGCCACAATGTATTGTGGTGGTGATTTGAAGGATTAAAAACAAGACTGATTGATAAGACTTGAAATGGAAGTTTTAAAACATAATTTTAGTTTTTTTCTGTGTTGGTGGGAAATTTGTATGGACAAGAAATCAAGGTAGAAAAAAGGCATCCATCCTAGACAACATCCAGCAGAAATGTAATACTAATATTGATTATTCAATATAACTGCTACTTGGGCATTAGACCATGCCCACACTAGTGCATACATTTTAAAATGTTGTTTATGTGTCAAAAGTGTTCGCTCCAGACTTTGCAGGGCCTCACCTTCAAGTGATGAAATGTCACAGTAACAGCAATATAAAATATGTAAAATATACTAACATGAAATAGCAATTTTACTGATCAGACACTCTGACAGTAATTTCTGTGCTGCTGCATTAACACCCTCAATCAAATCTTTACTCAATGTTCATACATTCATCTGACAACAAAAATAAAAAGGTACATTAATGATGACTCCGCCGACAGTCATTACTGCAAAGTGGAAATAGTTTGGCCGTGTTTACAAAGTGCTGATAAGTAGACATGTCTGCATTTTTGAAAAAACCACAGTTATTTTCATATTTTTCCACAATGTCACCCTATGTTGAAAACGTAAACACGGTTTTGCTGTTGTGTCACTCAGGTGTCAAATACTTATGTTCCTCCACAGGAACACTTTGTTGAGCTGAGATGTTTGTATTTCTTGAGCAGGTGAAGATAAGGAGGAAGTTGAAGAGCACTGACAAGGACAACGGTCCAACTTCTCCCACAATTCCCAGCATCACCTACGACTCTGTATTTGACAGTGGGAGGGAGCTGAGTTCAGATGTTTACAGCACTGTGGGCACAGGTACTAAAAACGGGACTGTACAGTATGCTTATCTCTGGTGCACTAGGTTCCAGTTCACTTTAATCAGTGTGAAAAATCTTGTTTACAACAGAACATATTTAAGAATTACACTGTGGAATGGTAGGTATTACACCGGTTAATGAGTATCTGAAGTCATTTAAAGGGTTTAATTAAAATCAGAATAAACACTCACAATGTCACTCAAGATGCATAAATGTATAGAAAATAAATTACTAATTCTGCACTGGCTGAAATCACACATTCAGTGATGATCCAGTAAAAAGAAAATGTTTGATTTTAACTCCAGTTGCAGCCACAGGAAGGGGAAAGAACAAAGTCCAAACATTAATGATTGATGAGCACATTGCAACAATAAAATGTGAGGTTGTATTGATGAGTATGAACTCCAGTAGTGAACTGCTGAACTTACAAAAGTTCACACAACATACAGCGCTGATGGATCAATAGTGGAGAGCTGAGATTCATATAAAGAAGCAATTCAAACCTCACACTGTATCCCTTCAGTGTCATTTAAGGTTGTCTTTGTGCTGCACTCCACATGTCTCTGTCAATTTATTTTAAATTAGTTTAGCTGCAATTAGCCGCATTAGTGATTTAGTATTGGTTGAAGGAAAAACAAAATGTAACAAAATCTCAGTTGACTTTCATTTTGCAAATGTCTTTGCCTTCAGTGCTGTAACGGTTCTGCACACAGAGATGTCAACTCAAAAGCAGCACTCAGAGGCAGAGCAGTTGAAAGCAGTCAATCGTTTACTTGGTAAGAAGTTCAAGGCAGAGTCCGGCAACAGGTAATCAGTCAGCAAACAAAGCAGGCGAGGGGCGGGCAGGCAGGCAGGCAGGCAAGAAAAATAAATGAAGGCTGTAAAGCTAGGACTGGGTAGGACATTAGACAATCTGGCAAACGACTATAGGGAACGAATGCTGGTATATATGCAGGACAGGGATAATGAGGGAATGTGAGTGATGGGACTGGGATTGGCGGGAACACACTGAGGACAACTACAGGGCAGGTGGGGAACGGCAGGAGAGGTTAATAAATGTCATTTTTATAAAATATAGAGGAAGGGCTGCCAGGCCAGGATGCAACGTATGACGCACAGTTTAGTTGATGAAACATTAAATTGTTGTTGTGTGTAATGGATACACTTTTTCCAAAGGAGAATGTACTTTAGACCTACAACAGTGATACAAAAAAACCCTGTTAATTTCCATATAATTTCCTGTCAAAGCCACAGGGAGCCACTGGAAGGGGGCTAAAGAGCCGCATGCAGTTGCCTACACATGGTTTGACAGAATCTAGTTTTTATCCAGGCTAGTGCCGTCGCTTTAAGGATGGCCATGTCTATCTGTCTTTGGTCCACACTGCAATATTTCCACAAATATTAGATGGATTACCATAAAATGTACAAAAATCCATGGTCCCAGAAGATAAATCCCACTGTGAATCCTTCTGACTTTGGTGATATATGAACATCCATTGGATGAGAATGTTAGCATGCTGATGCTAGCATTTCGCTCAAAGCACAGCTCTATATACTATTTGTTTGTGCAAAGAGCAGCAAGATGTGTGTGGACGGCAATAAAGCAAGCAAGTCTTTCCACTTACCTACCAACAGATGTCTCAAACCCTTTAAACAATGACAGAAAATGTATATTATTTATTTGTTAGTTATTTGTGTTATGTGGGCCTTGTATGTCACTCATTATATAACATCATCACACACAATTCATCTTATAAATGCACCGTCCTCTATTGATAAAGATGTGATTAAAACATACAGACAGAGATAGATAGATAGATAGATAGATAGATAGATAGATAGATAGATAGATAGATAGATAGATAGATAGATAGATAGATAGATCCTCAATACTTTTCCAGAGTTAACAGACAAACTCATTTAAAATCATCTTTGAAATTACCTCATTCATTTTTTTCAATCATTTCATTTTCCATGTTTATTCATTTCATCCTTGATTAAGTCCCTTAATGTTTTCTCCTCATTTAATAATTTTCCTTTTATTTGTAAACCCTATCTTTTGAAAATATTAGTATGACTGAAATGAATCATCCCTATTATCAGTGCTGCATGGAGGGCATTACTGGATGAATGTTGATGAACAAAATGAGATAATGAAGAGGACAGTCTGTCCTCCCCAGGAGATAAATGTGGGCACTTTTAGCATGTCTATTAATGTAAACATCTACTTGGATCATACTCTTTGTTGTGCTTGGTTATACAACCTTTTTCTTTTACACCAGCTGGTAACCTGAAAATCTGCCTAGATGCGTGACTGCATTGCGCCACCAGCATGTCACTGTGCAAATGTTTTTGCTTTGCACTCAGTCCTCAGTGCAACAGCAGAATTTAATTTGCCCGGTTGTAAAGATGTATGTGTGTCTGTTTGCTTCATGTTCGGTGAAAATCAGAAGATAAATAGATTCTACAGGCCGTACTGCACATCTAACATCTACGGCATGCTGCTTTTAAGTATGAATCATTTAAATAAATTGCCACATTGCCATCTGGTGTGAGTTTGTATTGACTGAATACACACACCAACGGTGGCTCAAGAGCTGAGCTGCTCCTGAATGGATTTTACAGAATACATAACTGTTCGTGTTTAGTCCTTTCAGTTTGTATTCATCAGTTTATTTAGCTATCTATACTTCACATTGTTGAGATTTTGACTGGTAGTTAATGAACAGATTAGACTACCTAACGTGGATACAATCATAAATAGTCATTCTCGATAGTCGTATGTGTGTGTATATATATATATATATATATATTTGTGTGTGTGTGTGTGTGTGTGTGTGTGTGTGTGTGTGTGTGTGTGTGTGTGTGTGTGTGTGTGTGAATGTCTCCTGGGCTTCTGCCTTCTTTTTTATGTCTGTCTTTAAATCTGCTTCTTTCATCCAATTTAAATGCCTGTTTCCTTGCTTGTGTCTTTTTTCTCCTCTCAATGTTTTGTCTGTGTACCTGGTTTAGCAGGATCCCACACTTTGAGAGGATGTGGTGAGCTGCTGTTAGTGTCCTCATCCTGCACACGTCCTCAGTACACTCGCTGTCCTCTCTTATGGTCCATTTTAACAGTTTCCTTTTTACCCTCTCATTTACTCTAACAGCATGATTTCTTTGAATCAGCTCATGATCCTGTTATGAAATGTTCAGTTGTTTGCTTAACTATGAGTGATAAAATATATAATATTGCATTTTTAGCACCACAGTTTTTGACTAGCATCATTATTGTTATTGTTGGCCTTTTTTTTTTTTTTTTTTTTTTTAACTCTGTGGTAAATATTGATTGTGTTTGTTTTCTCTTCATGTGTGCTTCAGATCTCCAGCAGTCCTGGACGTCTTTATCTTCCCTTCAGTTCAGCTCACCACCTCCAGGTAATGCCATATGTTGATATGAGTGTTTTTATGTTGCTTTGTCAGTCCAGAGGTAAATAGTTGTATCCTATGGGTTGGGTGTAGAGTTAGCTATTAGTATATTGATATATCAAGTGCTGTTGCTAGGAGGACTTAAGGGTTGATCTGTTTATTTGATCTGTATCATGTAAGCTGACAAGCAGTTCTCTGTTGCCTGTTATTTGAGGAATATCCGTCAGCTTGTCATGGCTCGTCATGTCACACCAGCACCAATTAAGTCCATTTCATTCAAACTCCATTTAAAACAGATGTGTTTCACACCATGTTTTTATTTTCACACGTTAAGAATTAGACCAGTTGTATCACACTTCTCCAACTGGTGCAGTTTCAGAACACTGCATCTGCAGATTCAAATAATTAACAAGTTTCCACTCAGTCTTCCATAACAACTCTGTCATCTTTGCAGTGGGCACATCTCTTTACAAAATCATTTTGGGATTGCAGTGTTATACATAGCTCTCCATGGAATAAGAATAAGGCAGCCCAGCAGCAAAAACACAAGTAGGCAGTTAACCTTTCCTCTTAGGGCTTGTGTTCTGTGACAAAAACACAAATTGCAGGCAACCATTAACATGTGACATTTGAGAATCACATAATATCAACCATCAGTCTTACTTGTTTGTCCAAATGAAGCTCAACTTCACCTTTTCCCATTGTAAGCCAAATTAATGTGTCTGCAAACTCGTGTTCCCATCTGAAAGTTGCAGCTCTGTCATTATCTAAAACAGAATAATGTTTATGCAGGCTAACTAGTCACACAAGGTGATAATATTCCCCACAATAAAGAAGCATTCCCAAAAGCATTAGGGATTTTGAGAGGCTGCTTAGCATTTTAGCATATATTTTTTCTTTATTTCAGCCATTTACTGTGGCTGTGACTTTCAGCTTAGCAAGCTAATTTAATATATAGGCAAGATTGCTTCTCTTTTCGTGTTGGGCAGTGTAGGATACACAGCATTGGTGCAGCAAGAGAGATCAAAAAGAGATCAAAAGAGAGCAATTAAATAAATTACACCGTAAATCACCAAACCGAACAGAAGCAGCAAAACTAAGGCAGCAGCATCACTGAATGTTCTGGATGCACAGATATATCTATAACTAAAATCTAATGTGTGTGTGTTTGCATTTGCATTTGTGTGTGAACATGTAGTGAAAAAAAACCCTGGCCTTTTGGATGTCCACTCCCCCGGCCCCCTCCAGAGGAACTGTAGCTTTGCAGATGACCTGGAGCTGGAGCCAGAGCGAGACAGTGAACTGACTCCTGCCACCTCAGTGTCACAGTGAGTTCACTACCACTGCACTGCAATGCCATTGCATTGATGCTGTGCTTATGAGCGAGTGTATTTTAATGAGCATATCAGAGAACGTTTGCATGTATTTTTTGCTATTTGTAATTAACCTTTGTAATATGTCAAACCCCAGAGCGCTCCTTTCTATGCTCAGTAATGATTCTCTATTAGGGAAAAGCACTTGTGTTTGCTGAGGCTCTTGCACAGTGAGAGACTGAGACTGATATGAGGAAATGAGTGTTAAGTAACTGCAGCATAATGTAAGTGCACAGTAAGTGAAACAAATGGAGCGACAGTTTTGACCCGTGGGACTTCCTTTCTAAATGGTGGGGTAATGATGCAGAGTGGGAATTGCTTGCAGCAGCATTGTTGGCAAAGATCACTCTGTGCTCTGCTGACTCCAAAATACCTAACCAGCTGTTCTCATAGAGCAATGCCACATCAAATCCCATGCTAAATTGAGCCATTATGAGATACTACTGCTTGTTTTATCTGTGACGAGAGAACGCCTTGTTGAAAAAGCTGGAAAAATGTGTTTCTTTTTAGTAGGTTTGTCAAATATTTGTGGAAAGTCTTCGATTTTAAGCTAAATTACAGATTGTATTGCAAATTGTCCATTTGAAATTCAATCTGTCGAAAAGCAGTCGAAAAATGTTTAGTTGAGTCATTGTTACAAATCTAAGCTGCAGCATAGACTCTTGATGTGGAATAGCTCAAACTCATATTTCTGCTGCCTTTGTATTGACATCGCAGTCCAGTATGTTTTGGTAAATTGAAGATGATTGAGGTATTGAGAACTTTAACCAAACTGTCAGACATTTGTTACAAACAAACAAAAATTACACCTCTAGTGACACTGCAGCCATGTTGTTTAAAGTGAAACTAAAAGAGTTTGAATTGTAGCTGTTAGGTAGGTGGGGGGTAAAAGTTCCTCTTTAAAACATTTCATGTTTCTTATTTTGTATTTGTTGATATTTCATGAAGCAGTTGGACCAAAGAAAAAATAAGATGCAAAAACTGTTACATTCATGCACTCAGGGGGCATTGAGCCAAGGCAAAGTACTTTTCTTTGATTAAGGCCGGGAATACACTGAAGCACAATTTTGATGAAACATGAATAATGCAATTTACAACAGGCCAGGACCTATTTGGTAATTGCTGAAGAGGTTAGGGCTTACTACTTTATTTCTGAAAAAAGTGACTTGATTATGGTTAAGTGTTACCCTGAAATCTGATCATAAACGCAGTCACTTCCTGAACAGTTAAATAACGGCAATGTTGAGCAATGAAAAAATTTATATTAAACAGCACCTAGGTATCTCTTAACATTTATAAAAACATGGCTTCGGACCCTTCTGAGGTATAATCCTTCGATTAAACCCAACGTTTTGTTCTAAACAAAGAGGAGTCATCACGACACACTGTGTTATTAAAAAAAGACTAAAGAAGACAGTCAACATGTTGTCCAACACAGTAACACTGATCTCATGATTAAATGTCGGTGCATCCATACACAGGATTTGATAATAAAGATCTTAAAAGGAATAGTGTAACATTTCAGTAATGATGTTCTTGCCAAGAGTCATGTGAGATGATCGAAATACTAACTATTTAATATGAGCTTTCCTAAGCATAAACTGGATTTAAGGACTTCCTGGAAGAAGAATTGAAGAAGTAGTCTGGAACATAATTCTAAAACCACAAGTTTTTATGCTTCATTTCACAAAATAAGATGTGACACTGACTCTTAAACACACCCTGTATATATGCATTACATATTAAATATCATTACTGTACAATCTTTATCTTTATCTATCTTTATTTATATTTAAAAAGTACTTGTTTTTTGTGATTTGTTTATGTACTGTATCTGTCATTAGCTTTATCTGAGAATCAGTCCATTGCACTGGCTGTGAAAAACACATTATGAGACACACGCTGACCTTGTTCCTCTAGTCTTTCACAAAACTGGACTCGACAAAGAACTCACTACTCTCCCCCTCACAGACTCATTCACTGCTCTTCCAGGGTAATGAACCCTGGTGAGTAATAGCTCCCACAATAATTCCCACAACATAATAGTGGAGGCTAAATGCACTACAGTCACTCTGGGCTTTTTATTAGTGGTTTTCAGAGCCAAAAAAAAGATGCCAAAAATCATCCATCTTTTGTTCTTTCTATAGCTCACCTTGATCACATTCAAAGGAAAGACACAGTCTACAAGATATGATGTAGACTGAAGACCAATTATGAAACTGGGCTGCACTGAATATTTTCCCATAAATTGGAAAATAAAATAAAATTGAGTTTTGGTATAAAGGCCATGGTCAACCATATTTTCATAGTTTCGCATTGATACCGGTTTTCATAAAGGAAAAATTAATCAAATCTGCAAATCTGTGCTGTGTTTTAAGAAAACTAACCTACATGTTAAAGTTTTACAGGGTTACTCTCTGTTTTTAAAAAATAGCTATTTTTACAGTAATTTCTTCTACATTCTTTTACACAGATTGACAGAGTCACACCGAAAAGCCATCCGGGTGATCCAGAGAATGCGTTATTTTGTGTCCAAGAGAAATTTTCAAGTAAGCATGATGCTATTTTATAGCTACTAACTTTTTCAACATATACATACCAAACCGTAACCAACATGAAACACTGCCTTTGCAATACTTGTAAAAATGTAATGTCCCATAACAACATCATTTTCCAAAACAAAAACAAAGCTCAAGCAAGACAGATACTGCAAGTAATGAGTTAAAATGTCTTTGATGTAACTGTTCTAAATATTCCTTTGTAGCAAGCTCGTAAGCCATATGATGTGCGAGATGTTATTGAGCAATACTCCCAGGGTCACCTGCACCTCATGGTGCGAATCAAGGAGCTGCAGAGAAGGTAAATGGCTTAAAGCAATTACAAGGAACTTTCATTTTGTGTTGATTCTGGCGCCCCCTGTGGACAAAAGCGGCAGTGTTTTCACCGTCTTGTGTCGTAAAGATCTCGATCCAGCTAGCATTTGTTTGGAAGCAAGGGAAAGAAACGCACAATGTATTTATACTTTTTTAAATACAGCTGTTTGCAGGACATATAGGGGTGGCTGGGGCTCAGGAGGTAGTGTGCATCGTTCACCAATCAGAAGGTTGGCGGTCCGATCCCCGGCTCCTCCTACACATCTTGAAGTGTCCTTGAGCAAGACACTGAACCCCAAATTGCTCCCGATGCTGTGCCATCAGTGTGTGAATGAATGAGTTTCTGTTCTGATGAGCCTCATATCAGTGTATGAATGTGTGTGACATGTAGTGTACACCACCAGAAAGGCTTTTAACATAGCGATGAGGTCATGTATCTATTTGCGGCTATAAGATTAATAACTTACTTTGTTTTACTGTTCATAAACCTAGGTTACAAGATGTAAGCCTCCAACTAACTGATTCAGTTGCTATATAGTATAGGCTAACAGCAAGATATATTTCAGGAGCAAGGCCAAAAACATAAATACATTATAAGCAATTGGTATTACAGTATTATTCACCGTGACCTGTCTCTCCATTCCACGTCTCGCAATGTATTTCATAAATAAAAGAGACATATTAGAAAATTGTATAGGAGGAAGAGTGCTGATCAATGTTTGGTTTTGAAATCCTTTCAAATCTGAAATTCTCTCCATCTGTTGAATGACCAATCAAGGTGGCCTTGCCTGAGCTCTATGACTGTCCCTTTGCAGATCCTGCCCCAGTATCAGCCCGTAACCACTGTCACAACCCGGCTCAAGGCTGGACAAAGAAGGGGAGAACACATGAGTTGTAACTAAAAATAAGTTTATTCTATATAACTAAAAGAGAAATGAGGCTAAAGACAAATTCAACCAAACCAAACAGGGTGAAACCCAAGGGAGAGAGCGAGACCGGCTGATTGACTCCAGCCTATATAGTCTAGCCACCAGACCAAGTGAACTGAATCTTGCTGATGACCAGACTCCACCCACCAGGCTCTGAGGGAGAAACCTGCTCAGAGGGTCATCACACCACAAAAAATAATTCTGTGAAGAAAAATCTCCTCCTGCTCCCTTTTAACTGGCTAACCTACTACTCACTGCGAATGTAGACATAGGCTCTTCCTGTCCGGCTCAATGATTTCGCCTGATTTTGAGGGGAATCTGACTGAATCTGACCCGGTGACAGGCATTTAGAATACCCATAGAAATAGCCTCCCTGATATTCTCATTTGCTTATGTAGGTCATAAACCGACATTGTTTTGTAACCAATTAAACAGGGAGGGTTTTATATGAATTCGATTGGTCAGACAAATGGTAGAGGATGTTTTTTGCAAGCATGACAAAAAAAAATCATGAAAGCAAGGTAATAGTGGGTGTGACAGAGCAAATACCGAAACAGTGTGTACATGTGTATTCTTCTGACTTGAGCCTTCCATTGTTTCACTCAGACTGGACCAGTCTTTAGGGAAGATAACTTTGTTCCAGACAGGCTCAGGTAATTAATCACTCCACTGCTCTCTCAAAATACAGTACAGTAACTATGGAAGAAACCATAGCCCTAATCCTCCTGTCTTATCATTTGTTTGACTATTGTCTTTCTCTGAAGACCGAGCCAGAGACAAAGGCAACAACTCTATCGGATCCAGACTCAACAGGATGGAGGACAAGGTGAGATTTGTGCAACTTCACTAGAAAACTTTAGTGATATTCCCCTGCCTTTTATTGTTTCAGATCATATTTTTTTGTTTGTCAACGTCACAGATTTACATGACCATGTTTGTCTTGTATTCATAATTTGAACTTACCGTGGTTGTTTTGGATAATGCAACAAAGGTTCAACTGGCTTTATCTGCTGTGATATGAAATATCTGTGCATAGATATGTGGCCACATGTGTGGTGTTGATTCAAATATAAGACTTTGAACAGCTTGTGCCAGTCCTGCAGCACAAAAAGAGAAACCATGACATTGTTTCTTTAATTTCTTTTTAAGATGTGTCAAAACAGAACACAAAAACTAAAAAAAGTTGAATCAGAATCTCCCCAACTCCTTCACCGAGTGTGACTTACATTCCAGCCTTGCAACCAACCAAACAAAATTAATTTCTTGGCAAGAAAGGAAGTTCAGTTTTATTTGTTATCAAATGGGGAAAAAAACTTTCTTTGAACCAATTTGCAATTAATATGTTTTTACAAATTTCTATTCTTGAAATATAATTTTGTTTGATGTTATGTAATTATAGACTATGCACAATACAGCAGTAAAATCATTTTCATAATGAAGGTTAATACTATAATGGTTTTCGTCACACACAGGGTAATTAAATTACATGAAGGACATAATTGTAACATTATCATTCGTTTGAACTCACTAATTATCCTCAAGTACTTGATTTAATTTGAATGAGTCAAAAGCATAATAATGGTTGTGCAGACCAGAAGTAATGACTCCAAATCCGAGCCAGTCTGTTATTTTGTTTTCGTTTGTCAATATTGAATTCAACTCTCACAGATAACACACATGGACCAGACGCTGAACCGTGTTGCAGAATCCCTGGCCTTCCTGCTGGACCAGAGGGACGTTGGCGAGGGTGAAGGTGGAGGCAGGCAGAGACCACGGGTTGGACGGGTCTTTAATGTCGTCCCCAGCCAGGACAGCCTGCCAAGCTACGACCAGCTATCTTCATCACCTTCATCCTTCTCCTCCAACGCCGCCAGCACCGCGGTCTTCCCCAACCCTCCCCTTAGCACCACAGCCAGTCAGGATGAGAACTGCTGAAAATTGCTGAAAATTTCTATCTATCTATCTATCTATCTATCTATCTATCTATCTATCTGATAGATACACTATTTGCCTTATACGTGATACTGAAATTAAGGTTAATGTCAACGACATTGCCACTGCCACGGCATATAATGTGCTGTGATTCAATATCCAATATTCTTGTCAAATAACAAATTGCATTCATCTTCGGAGAGAGGCCTTACATTTTAAAACTAAAAAAGTTTCACTTTAATCAAATGCTCTTTTCACCATTTTAATCCTATTTCACTTTTGTAACTAAATGTATTCTTTAAGACCTCAATCTGAATTCTGTTTTACTATATTAAATTATATTTTGCCAAAGAAATGTAACATTTCTGTGAAAAGAGATTTTTTGCAGTAACTACAAAATAGACTTTGAATACCAGCTTAATTGCAGTAACTTTGTTTTGGTCATCTTTGAGCTCTAAGTGCCTTGGCACTTATTGCAATTATGTGTCGCAGAGATCTCAGACTACTGGGAAGCCAAAACAACAGACTCATATCAAGTAAAATAATTCAGGTGATTGGGTTTGATAAATATAGTCAGACAAACAGAAAAAACGACACATTGAAAGTAATCTAAAACAAACTAGTGCAAATGGACAAGAAAGCCGAAAAAGCACAATTTGTTGGTACATACTTTACATTATTCCCTTGCATTTGGATATCCAAAGGCAGATGAAAGTGATTTTTTGAGGGCGGGTAGAATGATGAGCCTAAAGAGACATAAAATTAAGGCATTATAACTTCAATTTGTTGCCAAACTGTTTTATAACCTTACAGTGCAAAGTCTCTGTAGGATTCTTAGTTGCCTTTTTTAAATATTACTTGAACTATATACAGGTTAATGCCAAAGACATTGCCACAGCCACGGCATCATGTACTGTGATTTAATATCCTGTATTCTTTTAAAATTAAAGTACATTTATTTGCATTCACCTTCGGGGAGAGGCCTTATTTCATTATTTAGAGAGTAGAAAGTTCTACTTCAATCAAATGCTGCTTTCAATAAAACTGTTAATTATTTCAACTCTGTGTCTGATGTGATGATGGTAATGCAGTTAGCTTTAACTATAACTAAATGAGGGTTTAACTTAAAGGGAAGGTGAAGTTGATGTCACGCTGTGTTGAATTTTGGTAACTGATCATCATTTTGCTTATGTGCCATGTTCAGAGATCTTGCTGCCTTTCTCTTGGTATCTGCCCACAGCAAGTAGAAACACATTTTTACCTCCAAGATTATAGCAAACATTTTTATAAATAATGTGACTGATCCCACCCACTGCCTATGACTTTATAAAATAATCACATTGCTGAATACTTTTGAAAGTTTGGTATTTTGTTTGGTCTAATAATTAGGCCAAAACAAGAAACTAGGCACCACAGTGGCTCAGGAGGGAGCATGGTGGCGCACTGTAGCTTCACAGCAAGAGGGTCCTGCGTGGGTTTTTTCTCTGGTTTCCCCCACCATTAAAAGAATGTATGTTGACCAAGGCACTGTAAGATATGCAAGATTCAATTATTTATCCCCATTCAAGTAAATGGAGGGCTAAACTGGAATATAGCCGGTTAGCCAGCAGAAGTCTCTAGTGTGCATCCTTTAATTGGCCGCTGTGGCCCATAGAGCATGCGCAGTATGTATTCATCCAGATAATTTATTTGCAGCAGTAAAGTTACTTTTTTGGCTTCATGCTCGCCACTGAGAAGCTTTCTTAAGCCTTACATTACGACAATTCACTTGAAAGTTTCTGTTTAATCAAATGCTGTTTTCCCTATTTTAATCCTATTATATAATAACATATTAAATATTCTTCTCTAGCAATAAAAGATTGTGGTAATTATAACCAAGTGTCTATGTGTTGTGTCTGGTGCCTTAGGGGGAATCTAAAACTAAAACAAATGAGCTAAATATTTCAGTTTCAGTGACTTCTTTTATTCTTTTACCAGAGGTGGTTTGACAGGAAGGAAAGAAGGAAGGAAGGAAGGTTCAGCTTTTACATAAAAAAATATTTTTACAGCTTTTTTTCTCTTTAGTCATGAATAAAATGGATGTTTCACTTTTGAGTTTATGTAAGAGATTCCTTTAAGTTACTGTTTCCTTAATAAGCACGTCTCACTTGCATTGGCAGCAGAATTTCCTTTATTGTTGTGAGGTGGGGGTTGTGTCCTCACTGACTTATTGAAATAGCCAAAAGCATAGCTAAAACCGTGTTCTTTACATAGCTGACCTTTGGGCAGCAGATGGTGACCTTTTCCCCGCTGGCCATCCATGGGGTGTCCAGGCATTCCTTCACACAAGTGGCCATGTGGAGAAAAGGCCCAAGTGACCATCTGCCTCTGGTGTCCACAACAATGGGCCCCACCCTCCCTAAAGTGTGCTGAGGGTTGTTGGCCTTTGTGCTGACATGGAGGTGGGTGAGGGGAGAGTTTTGGAGGTTTTAAAAGGTTGTAATTAGTGTTATTTGGGGTTTTAGGGGAGGACGTAAAAAAAAAAAAAAAAAAAAAAAAAAAACAGTCATAAACACTCAAACAATATAGTGGATCAGTCCGTCCAAAACAGCAAAACTAATTGCCATTTACCTGAATAACTGCTTTGGTAAGTTTGCATCTAAAGCAACAATTTAAGAAGCCCCATCTGCTAAATCTTCACATTTAAATGTATAAAGCTAAACATGCATATATTCTTAATGATTTCTGGTGGGTTTCATTTTAAAGTTTCAAATCTGTGTATTTCTAAATACCTCCTAGATGGCCAATGCATCAGATTAAAAAAAGGTAGCTCTGTTTTGGATTTGCAAGTCCTAATGTATGCCTTCCTCGCAGTTTTCTAATTAAGCTTCTTTTAATTTGGACAATTTGATCAAGGCCTGACCAGAAGATTAATAGAGTTTCCATTCCTGAGTAATATGATTTACAGCATAGGTTTTATTTTAATGTTTCTGTCAACATGAAGGTACATTTATAATTTGCAATATGAATTGATACAATCACTGCATTACTGTTTGTGAAAGCTTCATTCACTGATGATGTACTGAGCAGCTTGTAATTTACATCTTTGAGAGGATTTAATTAAGGTAGTGGGTGGGGAAATTGGGAGCCCACAGGACTCTCTGGACCCATGGGATAGTTTGATTATTGATTTCTTGACTGGTAATCTAGACATAAGTCCTCTGGAACAGAAGCCAAGATCATCTGTTCTTAATGCAGAAATAACACACTTCATATTTGGCATTAAGGCTTTTAAAAATGTAAATCTAATGTTTGCTCTTCCTTGTATGCTCAAACACAGTCCCTTTGCTCCTGTAGCATACAAGTAAACATGGGCCAAAGTAAGAATAAACAGAAGTAGGATTGGGTTGGGCACATGTCAATGATAATAGCTGCTTTGACTATGAAAAGGGACAGACTCAAAAGAGAAAAGTTGAGGAGAGACCTGGGGGGTCGAAGAGTTCTAAAGGCTGATTTGCAGGTGAAATAGATGGCACACTCTTCTTTGTGGCCATTGTCCTGCTCTGCGTCCAGATGGCCTCTTGAAATTCTTTAGAGCTGAAACCCCAACGCTGTGGGAGTGAATACGCTTCCTGCGGGATTTGGCCTCTCTAATGGGCTAATTTGGCAGTTCCAGCTCATATTAACGGATATAATTTTAAGCCTGACAGCACAGTCCTTATAATTGTGATTATGGAATATCTCATAATACAACCCAGAAAATGCAATTACTCCAAAACCTTTTTCTTCTTTCGATTGCCAAACTTGCAACATTTTTCTATGACTTGAGAGGGACATTTATTATTAGTTTACTCATCTATGGCTGCCACAAAGTCAGCACAAAACCGGAGATATACTCTCTCATAAGACTGCAGTCATATTGAAAATGTAATCATTTGAAATTCTGTTCAAAAATGGCTGTAATTATAGAACTCCAGGGTCTGGTTTTTTTATCCCAGTAAGTTATCACAGCAGCACCTTTTAAATATGAATAACTTAAAACACTAAAGTGTTAGTCGCTCTCATGACGAGGCCATAGTACTTTAAATACCTGGAACTGCAGTTAAAACTCTGAACATTTTAGGAAGAAACTGTTGCTCTGTTCAGCATATACAAGCAAGGATGGAAGCTTAGATTCTGAGCAGTGCAAAGATATCTTCCAAAGATTTTAGACAAGTAAGAAATTAGATTTGTGAGGCACTGGTTGGAGAACTGATGTGCTTCTGAGCTATTTTGTCCCATTTTACTCAAGATAGGGAACAATATTAAGATGCTGTGGATGTTCTACATGACTAAATACACCAGTTTGAAGCAGTGAATGCAAAATGATTTAATTAGCATCTATCAATAAATTAATTTGGACGATGGAGTGTTGTGTTTTTGTCAGTGTTCCTCAAGCAGGCAGCAGAAATCACTCAATCAGAAGTACAATGGATAAAACAGTTTATTGAAATTACAATAATCGTAGGCTTTACAATCTTTTTGATCTGCATCTCAGTTGATTTAGGCAAACAGGACAAGGACAAAATAGTGCTTTTCTATATAGTTAACAGAAACAGCTCATACAGAAATTCACCAAGACTGACAAAGAGATGAAACATATGGAAACAAAAATTGATTCAGTCTTCGAATGATCAAATGATCTCACATAAAAATAATACTGATAAAAATTAAATAAAAAACACATCCAAACAAACATATTTGTGACATTATCAATGACACAATGCAACGAAATTAAATAAAAGTCCATAAATAAGATAAATAACACAGGGTGGTATAATTTCACCCAAATTAATAAAGAATAAAATATATAATAAAATAAAATAAAATAATAAGATAAAATGAAATCCTTTGGTACACTGAGTAGGCCTTGGTTCAATCCATCCAATCCATGTGGAAATAGTCCATTTTTAGTAGCATGTTCATCTTATTGTTTTGCACAGAGGTGCTTCACTGGAACTTGTGTGAAAGGGATTCAGGATACTCTTTGTTTCTGTCGTCCTTCTTCTCTTCGCGAAAAAATCTGCCAAAAAAAAAAAAAAAAAGCAATAAGAAAGAATAATGTTAATACTCTGTTGCTATAATTGAATAACCATGGGTCACAGGATCAAACACGTTGCGGATCTGCAAGACTTCTCACCTGTAATTTGTGCGTTGTTTCTGGGCTTGGCTGCCGGTTTAGAGAGCGTCCTCTTCCTCCGGACTGGCGTCACTTCAGCGGGACACTTGTGTGTGTTGAAGATGCTGGAGCAGTTCTCCTGGTCGGTCCCTGCGCTCTCCTCACGGTCGCTCAGCCGGTCATCATCCTCGGTGTTTGAAGAGCAGACACCCTCCTTGGGCTGTGCGCACTCCTGATAAAGTGCAGCAGCGCAGTCTGCGGGTAGTTCCTCCCACTGAAACCTGCCAGGCAGCGGCGTTTCAGTCTGGAAGTTAAAGTTCCAGCGGCGGCTGTCCTGCTCACTTATCTCCTTCAGCTTCTGCTTCAAGTCCCGGCGCAGCTGGTCGTGGTCCACCGGGCCAAAGAGACTCCTGCAAACCGACTCTCTGCGTCTGATGGGATCCATCCTTCAGTTGGTTCTGGTGGAGTTTTGTTGGGAAAAGTCTTGGTGTAATTTTAGAGGAAGCTTGTTGTTGCTATGTCCCTCTGGTCTTCTCTGGTCAGCACACAGCTGCAGGGCGATTTAAAGGCTCCAGGGCGCACGATGCTCTGTTTGTACACAATGAGAAGAGGCTGCTGATTGGCTGCAGCTCTCTGAATTGGCGGATAAAGGGAGGGGGAGGAATTCATTCATTGTGTGATGCAAACAGCTGAGACCATCAATAAAACTCTCCTGTTCCATTTGGGATACTCTGTGTAATATTCCTCTGTAAGCATTCCTGGTGCACATGTCTTAAACAGTCCATCCTACTTTTCATTTGCATGATTGTAAACTGTCAGCAAGAGCAAAACATTCCTAAAAGCCTCAGGGTTGCAGTTCTGTATATGTACTCTATTTTTTCCTAATGAAAGAGCACCAACATGCAGCAGTGCACTTCAGCCTCCAGGGAACAGTGATTAGTGGCCACTACAGGCATTTCTTCCTGTAGGCCATAGAGGCCAAAGTCTTCTTGCCAAGATGAGATTGAAAGTAAGTTTATGGTCCAAAACAAAAAGTAGTTTGAATCAGGAGATTTAGTTTTACACAAGAGCAAGACTTCTGCGATTAAAAAGTTATTGCTATGATTAATTCATTTTTATCCGTTTTAAGATGATTTTCCCCCACAGGTTAGAGCTGTAGAAAGGTTCTAAGTTTTGCCCTTGCTTTCGACACCCAAGATTTTCTCTCTGAGACTTAAGGAAGGTCCTGTACTCACTCACACAGTTAAACACATTTATAGCTGCCAGTGAACCCACAGTCTGATTTGCTGGCCACTAAGCAGCTCCACTGGAGAAGCTGGGGGTTATGGGCCTTGCAGAAGGATACTTAAGTGGAGGTAATGAGGAAGAGGGCATTCACTTTCCCCAACTAGATTTTGCTGATCAGTCTGGTATGCTAGAAATGCTGATAGTGTGAATACAAGGTTTTCACATTGAGCCAAAACTCTGAGAAGCTACCGCCTCTCTGTGTATTCTCTTTGCTGTATGTAAAGAACGTAGTAAAACACTAGAGACTAATCTGAATGCTGATCTGAAATTCATCTGACATTCACTTAGATACATATTAAAGGTCCAGTGTGTAATATTTAGTATCTGTTGGCAGAATAGATTTTATTTTTAGATTTTATTAGAGCATAATCGCTTGAAAATGTGTCTTTTTGTTATCTTAGAATGAGTCGTTTTTAGAGGGAGTGGGTCCTCTTCTTGCGGAGGCCACCA